TTTTTTTGTTTTTAAATATATACTTAAATAACTGTTACTAAAGTGCAATAAACAGCAAGAAAAGTATTGTGTTTCCAGAACAAGGATAGTATATTTATAATCTGAATTTCTATCATTTTCTAAAATTCACTGTGGGAAAACCAGAGGTGATAACTAATTGATTATTTTCTAAACAACGTACCCACGAGTTGACGATAGTCTTTCTTTGATTATTTTCACACGCGCGCTCGACGATCTCTAAAGAGAAAATAGAGGGATTGTGAATAGGCTATTAAAACTACCACTTCATTGGATGAGGACAGTAACGAGTAAGACGTTCCAATGAACTGTAATAGTACTAAGTCAGGGGGTCGAAGTTTTGATCACTTGAATATATGGAACGTACCAACATAGAAAAACACGTGGGAAAACATTTATTTAAAATTAGTCATCAACCTTCCCAGGTTATACATCCCTTCTCTTACTGCGATCCTCTGCTTCATCTTCGTAGATTTCGTTCTTCGGAAGAAGTACCTCTGCTCCAATACGTGCCTCCCCCCACCGATTAAGCCCCTAATGACCCAATCCCTCCGCTATGTTTCGGCACCCCCTCGGCTAAACCATCAAATAAGGCGAAGAAGGGTAAGGAAACCTCCGCGCTCTTTGAACGCGGGTGTGGGGTAAAAAGAAGGGTCTCAATGGGGTTAACCGTCGACCGTCAAACGGCCTAATATTTCGCTGTCAACCGTCAAAAAAGGTTATATTTTACCGTCAACCGTCAAAAATGCTAACTACTGTTAATCGTAAAAAAGTTTTAAGGTATCTCAAATTCCACTATTTCAACTCATCTTCACGGACTTCGAATCTCTAAACTGGAAAACTCAGTTCCCCTGTTCTCAAAAATACACTCTATAGACATTACAAGACCCTACAACTTACTTATATCTGAAAATATTTCAAAATTTTAAAAGTGAATGGCAACTTAAAGACAACCTCCAAGACGCAAAAGTTAAAATTAATTTACTCATTTCAGAAATTAATATTTACTTAATTCTTGGTCTAAATTTCTACTCAATAACCGTCAACAGTTTAGAACTCTAAAATTTAACCGTCAACGGTCAAAGCTACCACCCCATTGATACCCTCAAAAGGGGACAAAAATGCCACTTTTCACCCTACGCCCTCGTGCCCTTCCTTGCCTCTTCCGCTTGGCTTAAAGAGAACAGAAACGACTGCTATGCAGGCTACCGAAAACAGTGAGCTTTCTTTCTTTCAATTCTCATTGTTGCCTTAATACATTTCCTACGGAAGGATTTGGGGGAAGATGTTAAACTATCAATGGAATCAATGTTGTGTGATCATCTCCTTAATTCTCATTACCACTCTGTTTTATAAAGCACTGATGTTACAAGGAGAAGTTTCATTGTGATCACTCTTAGGGTTTAATGGGTTAATGGAACGTAAAACTGTTTCCTTGGGGCCAGTCATTAAGTACTTATTATTGGAGGAAATGGTAGGGTCTAGGGCTTATCATATGTTTTATTACCATTGCAGCCTATTGCACCAAATCCTTCAATTCCAGAGTCACAAGAAATTTATGATGAACATATTAAGGTACTGAAAAATATCAGTGACAGTTAATCTAGCTATTAATTTTCAAATTTGTATTTAGATTATCGTAGAAGTATTAAAGCAAAATACTTAAAGCTTTGGTAAAACAGGCAACAAAAAAAGTGCATTTTGTTTTGTAACATGGCTGCAAAATGGGTTGAATTGCGATGTTGCACGTTTTACCATCCACGAATCAAATCTCTCTGCAACAAATCAGGTATTGCAGGTTGCGAAAAGTTTTTGTATAAAGTAGAGGCCCTAATAATCCAAACAAATGGTACAGAAAATTTCGGTAGATCCAGTAAAAGCGGGAAAAAGGTAATAACTCGAAAGATATCACCTTTTTTACAAAAATATTCCACTGGGATGAACCGTTCCATTTAAATTCTTCCCGGAATTATCGGATTTTCTGCACAAATGGTAAGCGCTCCAGGCCTACCTTTTCGGTCGTTCCGCTGCTCTCGGAAATTGTCCACTATAATGACCCGAAAAGTCGTGTGTCATTTACATTTTAACCGAATTTTCCGGAAACTTTTTGTAAATGGTAAATAACCTATGAGTAGTCACCCCCCGCCCCCCTCACGGATGATGAATCTCCTTTTCCTGGATAATTACATCTAAATTGTTCAGCGCCAATTTTAACCATTTTTTTAAGGCGATATTAAAAAAAAGTTAACATTGGTTTCAAACACACGGGATTTCATGAAGAAAGCGATAAGTTTGATAAGCAAAACAACAACTTCGCACGTGCATCACGATTTTTTTACATTTCCTTGTGGTCACTGCACGACTATGTCGTGAAAATGCCAAATTTCACGTTTCGTGGAGGACTTGAACACAAGACAGTGACTTTCTTTTTCTTTTGCTTTACTTTGACGCGGTCCTTGAGAATTCAACTCCAGAAAAATTTGCCAACATTTGACGAATTTAACGAGATGGAATAAGCGCGAATTCACTTTTTAAGTGACGCTTTCGTAGCCGTCGCCGTCGTAGTTGCTTGAGTTAACAACCCTGACAGTATAGTTTATCTATCTTTTAAAAATGTCCTTGTATCTATAATTCATACAGCTTGCCAAAGAGTACATACAAGTTCAGACAGAAATGGCAGTGTGGCTTCAAAGAAAGTGAGTCATCTTTTCTTGGTTTTTTTATCTCTCTTATTTATAGAACACATGTACAGAAGTCAACAATCTCCTGATAAGCCCAACTACTGTTGATCCTACCACAGTAGAACCACTTACTTTACTGCAAGACAACGAAGCAACGTCAATCGTCTCTGAGACGGACACTAAGCCCCCGAATACAGTTGCCTCTAATCGCTCACCGCCTCGCGAAGTGTCCCTCGCGGCATCGTGATCGATGAGGAGCAGCTGTAATTGCAGCCTATGACAGGCATCGTGGTGCTCGCTATCGCTAACGTATATGAGTGCGTTTTCGCTGTAGGCCAAGCCTGTGAGCAAGCTCTCCATTTGGGGGAGTCGCGAGAAGTCACGCGAGAGCCGCACGCAAAAGGAGACGGGAGAGAGAAGGGCTTCCCCGCTCGCTCCCGCGTTCTCACGCAGCTCGCTTCACTCGCCATATAAGGGAGTTTAAGCAGCGACGTTTTTGAGCGACGCGCGTTAACCGGAAGTGAGCCTTTTTCTCTTTTAAATTACCTTGACGCTACCAATTTTCTTTGCTTTTATAGAGACGATTTGCTCAAAAGTATGTTCAAAATCACGGCTCATGCGTCGCTCAAAAACGTCGCTGCTTAACACACCTATTAGAAAATTAGAGCACCTGCTCGCAGGCTACTGTATGCCTGACAATTTCGACTTGTGACTCACATTGACCATTCTTATTCAATGTCATTTTAATTTCTTAATTGCATCTCTAGTAGTTATTATTTCTGATTTTGCTGCAGAGTGGATCTTGAAAGAGATTTAGAAGAATATGAAAAAGAGCAGCAAATTAATGCGCAGTATGTAGAGGAATTTGCAATGCTGACTAGTGAAAAGGTATGTTAAGTGTTAAAGCGTTTTGACCGGCCAGAGAAGTTTTAGGCTAGAGACGTCTATCTTCTGACCGGTCAAAATGTTAAAAATAACACGATGGTAACTTGCACGCACTAGCCTAATAAGCAAAAACATAAAGTGAAAAAAGATGCTTGTTCTCTTGAAACCTTTTGGTGTTAAATGGTTGTTTGTCCTTTATATGGGCAAACCGGTCGGTTCACGGTTTGGGCAAATGGTAAGCAAAATTCAGGGCTGGCAAATTTCATCCCGGAATCGCGTTTACCATTTGTGCAAATCAGTTCCATAGACCCGAAAACGGCCGCGAAAGCCTGGAACTGGTATGAAAGAAGACTTTGAGGAAATGGAACACGAATTTCCGTTTGAAACATTTCGACCGTGGAAACAGGACTACCTTTTCAAACGTTCCGTTGCTCCCGGAAATTTTCCACTGAAACAACCTGACAAGTCGTGTTCCATTTACTTTCTAACCGGATTTTTGGGAAACTTTTTGTACGTGGTAAACAACCAGTGTGTGTGTGTGCGTGTGTTTTTCCAGGTGGCGTGTTATTCGTGTCGGATCAAAATGACCGGCAAACCGAAAGTTTGTCCGGACAAGTGGTGGTGATATTGGTCAGACCGTTGACCGGCCGCAATTTTGAGCTCTGCCATAACATTATTTCATCCTAACATCGGTTGAAAACTCTCTGTAGTTTCTCAGGCAGTGATTGTTAATTAATTGATTTGTGGTTTACTTTCTTATAGGATAACCTTCTGCTGCTTCATAAAAGCTTGAGGACACAGTTGGAAGCTATGAAGCGTCAACAAGGCCGTCCATTGAGCCAGTATCGATCATGACGATTATGAAAGCAGTCAAGTCTTTCAGAATTTATAGACTAATGTATTTCCTGTACATTATACATCGTGAACTGTAGACAGTTCTATCATTATATTGTTTTCTTCAGTTGTGAAGAATTTCACAGTCTAGTGCTTAGTACCCTAAGTTATTACACAGAGCCGG